CCCCCCCCCCCCCCCCCCCCGTTTGTTTATTCGTATGTTTTTGTTTCACCCTCCGTCCCTTCACGACATACGTGACGGTCCACGTTAGCGCTCGTTCGTTCACGCTCGCGGACGGACAGATCTAAACGTACTGCCGCACGCGCACACGTGCGCACACACGCACACGCGCGCAATCGCCAGGGCAATGAACGCTGATGGTTTGAACATCGCCGTGCGATACGGGTGTCGTGTACACGGAACGCACGGTTCCCAGTATGCCGTTTCTTAAAAAAAAAATTTAAAAAAAATGTATACGTTTGTTTAAGTATATTTATGCGTCCGCGAAGTGTGTTTGAAGATTTTCGTTTCGTTTGACGGAAAGGTTTTTCATCGAACACAAACCGCGATTCGATTCGCATCGTTCGTGGAAAATTAAAATTTGGATTTTAATCCCGTGTTCGCGTAATATCCTCACGCGAACGTGTAAAAAATTATCTCAAACGAGCTAATAAAACTCTAGATTTACAGACATATACAATACATAACTATAATAAGGATTTAATTAAGACGAGACCGTTTGAACTTCACTGATTGTCTCGTATAGATTACATTGGAAACAACTCCGATAAGTTCCATCAAAAACAACCGAGTGGGAAGTTTTCAACTTGATTGCATTACAGCCGTTCTTTCTCTCCCGAACTTACACTAAGTCACATACACAAATTGAGTACTTCGATACTCGTATATTTTTTTTAAATATCCGTAGATAAGTTCAACCGTCTTTAGACTATCCGCTCAAACACATTTTATGTAAATGCTGTATTATATTTATATGGTTTGCGATTGTTACGGTTATTGTGTGCACCGTATCAGAGTATTGATAACATAGTAAACGACGTTATAAAATGTAGCTAAATGTTGGTAACAAATTATGTTTACGTATTGTGTTTACTATTATTATATTGTATACCGCACGCCATTGTAAAATAAATTAGAAAAACCGATTCGTAAATGATTCATTTTATCAATAAATAATTATAGTCTTCACGATAAGAACCATCTTCGAAACATTAACTAATTAGAGATAAAGGATAATTGTTTATGAGAACGATTACAAAGAATCGTTTTATGTATTGATCTAAATGCGTCGCTGCACACGACTATAATGTTAAGCGTATAATATATTAATTAGTTAATTGACCGCGTAGGATTATTGTCCTATAAAATACACGTGTTAACCGTGTTATTTAACCGTTAATGTTATTAAAATGATCGTTCCGGGCACATGACAATGTAAATATATTGTATACCCGAGTATGGCGGGGTTGACAAGATGGATCGAAGTACCTGTCGAGTACATTTTTTGATAACGACGGTTGTGATACTTGCCCGAAACAATTGTCACAGCGATAAAAATTAAAAAATAAAAATCGATTTATATTTGCGAATGAAAACCAGTAGTTCGAGTAGTAGACGTGCAAATGAATATGTACCTAATTATAATCGTGTGTACCATAACGAGGTAACTCAGCAAATCTCCGGCCGTCGTGTATTTAAACCCGAAAAAAAACGATCACCCAGTCCAATAACGTGAATAAAGTGTAAATGTGCCTCACATTTGTTTAAACATTTTAAATAAAATTCATCCTTTTGAGGTCAAAATTGGAAATTTTGCGATGAACACATCTAGGCGTTTTTTTTGTTCGCAAAAAGTCGCGTCGTTTCGATGTCACCGAAATATTTGTACGCCCTAGCTAGCCGAGACCAACGTTTACATCCCTCTAACACTCATACACACACACACACACACACACACACACACACACACACACACACACACACACACACATCTAAACACACGCACGCACATACTCAAACTAATTCACGATCCGAATAGTGTGGGTGGGTTTTCGTTTAATAATCGCCCGGGGGGTTTTAAAAATGCAGTCTCGTTTCGACCGTAAACACCCGTGTGCGGCCAGACCGATAAAATGGACGGCTCCCTTTCCGCCCTTCTTCGCTCGCCAGTCAAACATCCCCAATCCAACTTTCCCTTCCCCCCTCTGACCAAAATACACATCCGCAACCCGTGCTTTCCCCGTCGGCGGCGGTGGTGGCGTCCATGGTCTCCGACTCGCTGCGGTTACTACGGTA